AATAAATAAGTTTAAATAAAATAATTATTTTTTAAAAAATGCCAGGCTCATGTACATGTCTGCAGGTTAGAACCATTAAGTAGCAGCGTGGCCCAATAGAAATATAATGTAAGCTACATGAGTAATTTTAAATTTGCTAGTAGCTACATTCAAAAAAACAGGAAAAAGGGTGAAATTAATTTTAATGTATTTTACTGAACCCAGTGTATCTAAGATAATTCAATATGTAATCAGCATTTTAAAATAAGACTTCTGGGGACCACCAGGTGGCGTGACGGTTGGGGTGCTGGACTCCCACATGGTCAATTGCAGTTCAAGTCCTAGATCTGGTAACTTGGGTTTCTCACTTTCCCTCTGTCTCTGGTGAGCACACATGTCCTATAGTACATTAAATAATAAATAAAATTTTAAAAAGTTAAAAAGAATAAAAAGTTTTTATAGCCTTGAAATCCAGTCTATTTTATTCCTTATAAGACATCCTAATTTGGACTAGTCACATCTGAAGTGTTCAGTAGCCATGTGTGGCTACTGGCTAAGGTACTGGACAACTTAGTTCTAGAGGAGCCCCTTCTCTGAGGGCTCTGTAGTTCATAACAGGTTATAGTTCCTCCCCTTTGGATTGCTGCCTTTTCCCAATTAATTGAGGCTTACAAAGTGTGAATAAGGGTTGTGGGTGTCCAAAGGAACACACAACGATTCATTAAGAATAGTTACTGGGGGGACCAGCAGTTAATGTAATGGCTATGTCGCTGGACTTCCACATATTCGACCACGGTTCATGTCCCAGACTCGGTAGTTTAAAACAGGCTGGGTGTGTGTGTGTGCGTGCGTGCCCAAGATCCCGAGAGGAGAATGGAGGAGAAGGGATTGCGGTGTGGCCAATCCCCTGGGGGGTGATTTCTCGCGTTCTGTTTTCTGTCTCTGTCTAGCAAGCGCACACGCCTTATAGCAAAAAAAAAAAAAAAAAAAGGTTACTCGGGGGACCAGCAGTTGGTGTAATGGCTATGTTGCTGGACTCCGATGTAGTCAACTGCGGTTCAAGTCCTGGTGACTTAAAACTCACACCCGGTGCGTGTGTGCGTGAATGCCCAAGATCCTGAGAGGAGAATGGAGGAGAAGGGATTGTGGAGTGGTCATCCTCTCTGGGGGGTGATTTCTCACTTTCTGTCTCTGTCTTTCTGGCAAGCCCACTCGCCCCATAGCAAAAACCTCTCCAAAAAAACAAAAAAAATGTTACTGGGGCCAGCAGGTGGCATGGTGAATAAGATGCGGGTCTCCCACATGGTTAACCACGACCACGATTTGAGTCCTGGACCTTGTTTTGATTTCTCACTTTCCCTCTTTCTCTTTGTCTTACTGGTCAATTTAAAAAATAAAAGTAATAAATACAATTAAATAACTTTTTAAAAAAAAAAAAAAAAATTTTTGAGAGAGAGATTTTCACTGTAGGGCGCGTGCGCTCGCCAGACAGACAGAGAGAGACATAGAGACAGAAAGCGAGAAATCACCCCCCAGGGGGGATGGTCACGCCGCAATCCCTTCTCCTTCATTCTCCTCTCGGGATCTTGGGCACGCACGCACAAGCGCCCGGAGTGAGTTTCAAGCCACCGGGTCCGGGACGCGAACCGCGGTCGACGCGAACCGCGGTCGACTACGTGGGAGTCCAGCGACATAGCCATTATGCTAATTGCTGGTTCCCAAGAACAGTTACCTTTTGGCTGTTTCCAAAATCAATTCCACTTTCAATAGATAGATTTTTCCATACAGAAAAAATTCAAGAGACAAAATGTAGTAGTTGGCAGGGCAGGTTGGAGTCGTGGCTCTGTCATTTCCTATCTGTGAGACACTGGACAGATTACGTTCTTTCTCTAGGACTTAGTTCTCTGATCTGTAAAATGGGATATTTGTAGATCTTCATTGGATCTCATGAGGATTACACGAGTTAATGTACATAAAACATCTGGACCAGCACCAGGCACGAAATAAACGTTCAGTACATGTTAGCTATGATTCCAGTAAGCTCGTTGCAGATCCTAGGGTAAGTCCCAAGAAAAGCCCAGAAATTCTAAGAGGCAGTCGGCGCAGGTGGAGAACTACACCTCAGGCGTCACCGCCGCGGACTCGGGACCTGTGCGCGGACCGGCCAGTCTCCAGTGACAACCGCACCACTCTGTCGCTCCAGACTCCCTGGCCCGCTCTTTCCGGTCAGGGCTGCGGCGGGAGGTAAGGAAGGCAAACCTGTAGAGAGACTCCCTATAGTCAGGTCACTTCTCTGACGGGGTGCGGGGCTCCACTGGTAGCAGGAGAGAACAACCTGGGCTCTCCAGCTCCGGGCGGGCACCAGGCCCGCCTCTGGTCTGGTTAGCGTCCCACCCCCCCGCGCCTCTGGGCGGGG